TCCAATTCTGCCTCTTCTCTGCCTTCTGGAAAAAGGCACTCTCTGGCATCGCAGTGCCTGTGCCTGTCTCCTAGCTCGTCAAATTCATTAAAGCCCATCCATGATGGCGGTCTGATGGAAAAAGGAAACCTGATGAGCTGCCTCTGCCCCAGCATCAGGAAGGTGCAGGGTGTCCCTGCTCTTCCCCCTCTGCCATTTCCAGCTCCTGCGTGAAGCTGAACCCAGGATTCACAGAACAGTGCAGGGCCAGGACTGCTGGGGCAGACCCTGCCACAGCACAGCACTTGCACCCCCTGTGTTGTGAGCCAGACAGAAGGACACCAACCCGAAGGGGATTCGTATCCCCATGGTGGTCAAATCCATGACAAATGTGTCTCTATTTCTGCAGAGGGGGCACTGGAGTGATAAAAAACCAGCATGCAGAGCCTGTCCCTGCAGGAGAAACAGGAGCAGTCAGAGTGAGGCCCTGGTGCTGCTGAGACCCTGCTGACCCCCCCCGGGGGTTAAGGCAACCATTCTTACTTGAATACAATCCCTGTGGAACCAGGCGTTTTTGCATGCTGGGCACACCATGGTGTTGAAGGTCTTTCTGTCCTCCACGGGCTCCATGCAGATGAGGCAATTGGTGCCCAGCTCCGGAGTGGCCTCCACTTCCTGCTGGGGGCTGTGTGTGGGACAGAAGGACCTGGGGGAAAAGGGGTGGGTGAGGAGAGAAGTGCTGGCCCTTCCCTGGTTGGGGCCAGCAGGGGACAGGAGGTACCTGTATGGTCTGCTGAACTGGGTGACACATCCTCCCTGCTTGGCGCAGGGCAGGTGGAAGCTCAGGTCACAGTCTCTTTCACAGCAGGTGATGGTGGCCCCACTCTGGCCACAGATGAAGCAGCTCTGGAAAGAGCAGAGCAGCCCCATCAGCAGCAGCCTCAGGGTCTCGTCCTTGTCCCAGAGCTGCTTGCAAAGGCTAGGCTTTCTTGCTTGGGGTCTGGGCTAAGCTCCAGCAAACCTCGCCTGGCAGTGAACTCTTCCTTCTCATGTCAGACTCTCACCTTCTGTGCTGCCCGAGAGACTACATCTAGGATATCCCGTGGGAGAAAAGCCCTGTGTCCTTCTCGATCAACTGGGTGGTGAGGAAGGTTGCTGGCAAAAAACTGCAGGAAAAATGCCGTGCACTGATGAGGAGAGAGTGGCAGGGACTGCCTGACAATATATGGAAAGAGCACACGAAGCAACTCACCAGGCAGAACTCGTGGGCACAGACTCCATTTGTATGAACTTTTTCTCCATACGTGTCCGGGTCAGCCTCTGGTCGTCCACACAGCAGGCACGCTGGAGGGGAGAGACAATGGCCCCAGACATGGCACCTCTGCTGCCCACCCTGACAGCCCCTCTGCCAGGCTGCTGGAGGGGCACTTTGCTCTCACCTGGCTCCCTCACTTCGGGGGCCTCCTCCTCCTGGTCTGACATGGTGACTGTCAGTACGAAGTCC